GTGGGTCTGGAGAAATCAAAATTCAATTAATGTTACTGTCAAATGAAGAGACAACAGATTTCATTCTTCTCCTGTAACCTTTTGTAGTTTCCTAACGCTAAACACATTCTGACCACTTTAATAAGCTAGTATTGCCAAATCCTGTACAATCAAAACAGGCTGACCATGCTCAAAGCCCCAATTTTTCTTGAGCTTTGACTACCCCTGTGATCTGGAACACAGCAGGCAGCAAGGAAGTCATCATTACTTTTTTGGGGAGATGGGTGGGAAGGGAACTGGGGATCAAAAACCGCCTACCGTTTATATGTAAGTAAACAAAAGAGATCAAATTGACTAATCAAATTAGCCACTCAGAATCCCTCTTGCCAAAAGTCATTACCTTCAGACTGATCTGGCAAAATGGGATTCTGCTGCGCCGATGCTCTGGCGGAAGCGCTGGTTTTGACAATTTTAGTCAGTTTTATTTTGATCTTCTCAGGCTCTTCTGGCTAAGACTACTCGCCCCAGCAGAGAAAAGCTTCTCACAAACGTACCACATTTCAGGGTGGTACCTTCCAAGGTGCCACAGTCTCCCCGTCCCATTAGTTGTCCACTTCCTCCTCTTCATTCTGTTCTTCTTCTTCCAGCCTTTCCTCCTCTTCATCGTTGTCTTCATCCCTGCTCTTGTCTGGCTCTTCTGCATCTGTTTTTTTGTCTTTGTCCTTCTTCTTTTGCTCTGAAGCTTCCTTCTTGCCTTTCTGCTCTCTCCTATATGCTGTAAGGAGGAAGGTGGGGATTAGGAGGCAGGGCCAAACCAAACAGACCGCAGCAGGTAACTCCACTGTACAACTAGAAAGGCTGGGGCAGAGAAGAAAAAATAACCTGCTCCGCATTACAAATTGGATCTGAGGTGGTGCCAACTGGACTGATTCTGAGTCACATCCAATACTTACTTCCTGTTCTTACAGGGATCCAAGCTTAGAAGACGCAGGGCCAGGTGAACATCTACTTGGCTGAACAAAGAAAAGGGTCATTACCTTCCAGAGCTTCTTTCAACGGGGTAACGAACCGCTGGAACTCCATCTCTTCCATGGCTGAGAGCACGTCACTGGCGTTCAGTGTCTTGCGTTTCCCTTTCATTGCGAAGTTGTTGGCACTGAAAAGAAAAAGATTAAAGGCCGTCAGGTGGCTGTCAGACCCCCTCCTGCCGCGTAAGGGATGGAAAAGGGGCACCAGAGGTGGTATGGAAAAGCCTAGGTCTTACATGCATGGATTTTTGTGACATGTTAAGCCCTTCCCTTCCCCGTACAAACGGTAATTTTCCTGTTTTATTTTGTTTCAGCCCTTGCAAGAACTGGATAAGGGTGAATCTTCCCCGCACTGAGATAAGGCACAATTGTTGGGGTTTGTGGACTCCAGGCCAGGGGGTCTCTTTGCGGCTCCCTTACGCCCCAGCCCCAGCTAAGCTCTTGCTGGCCCAGCCCGCCTCACCAGGAAGTGGCGTACAGCACGAAGACGCTAGCAGCGCGGGAGATGGCGCTGCGGGCCTCCTTGGAGATGTTGACACCGTCCGGGAGCTGTAAGAACAGCGTGGGTGAATAAAGCTGCCGGCCCAAGACCTGCTTCCCCCGCTGCCCGCCCTTCCGCCCCTGGCCCATCCGCCAGCCAGAGCTGCTCACCGCTTCCTTGATGATCCTAGTGATGACGGCATTGGGCAGGTTTAAGTCCTCGGGCCTCTCCGCCATTGCCGCCGGGGCCGCGGCCCGCGCCGCAGTCTCAGGCCTCTTCTTCAGGCCGCCACGGCGTCCGGACTTCCCGCGTCGCCACAGTCTGACCCAAAGAGGCTTCCGTCCCGCCCCACGTTGCCCACACTGTGTCCCACAGTGCCCCGCGCGCCATAGCCTCCCTCTTCACCCAGCCACGCCTCCGCCTCGAGTCGCCCAAGCATCCGAACTTTCCACGTCGCTACGGTTTTGGCCCTTCCGGGCTTCCGTCCGACCCCACCGGGATCTAGCGTCCCTTCCCAGATTCGTTTCCCTGCTTCTTGCCGCCACCATGTCTGGAGACTTCTCAGCAGCTCAAGTATGGCTCACTGGAGCTTCCGTCCCTTCCCCACAGTGCTCTGCGCCGCTGCCTGGCAACGGCGCTGCCTGGCGGCTAGCGCGGGAGACGGAGGCGTGGACTGAGCGGACGGGGCGGGGCTCCTTCCGACGTGGGGCGGTGCCCCGCCTCCTCTCCCAGGCGGCCCGAGGGGTCTCGTTTTCCGAGTGGGTTTCGGCTTTTTGGCAGTTTGGCGTGCCTTTTGCTAGCGCGGGCCTCCGAGGCCGAACTCTTCCACGTGCCTCTTCTGGAACGAAACGGGTATCTTTTTTCAATTCTGCGGGACCTGATGTCCATCTTTAATCTTTTCACCCCTCCCAACTTTGTAATAATCGCATTAAGGCTAATTGTCCCCTAGAATTGTTGAACGCAAACTCCTTTGCCAGTACAGCGCTAACGCTGGCGACGTGGAAATGGGCATAAGTAGACTTCGTTCCTCAATTCGGGCTGGTCAGGTAACGAAAGGGCAGCAAGCAACCGGTTGTAAGGATAACGTGATTGCATTCCATTAAAAAACAAACCCTGTTAAAATTGTATTTGTTTTTTTCAGTTCATTGACTTAACGCATCATACATCTTTCGCAGTCAAAAGCATTAGCATGGTTTTGCAGTGACTCTTAAGTTGTATAATTTTCATGTTATGTAGGTAGAAATTGTCTTCGATCCCACTGAGCAAGCACGAATGCTTTTTTTTCTTGAAACATGCTGTCTCACGTCACCCTTAATTTTCCTGCTTTTCTAAAAAAAAATTATTTATTTTGAGTAGTTTCTACAGGCATCATAGGGCTGGTGCTCATGACCAGAGTTCAAGAGTCACATGTTCTACCTACTGAGCCAACCAGGCATCCCAATTTTCCAGCTTTTGACAGAGACCTGAGTACAGAGAAATTCTTCTCTATTTGGAGAAAAACAACAGCAAACACGGTGATAAACGGCAACTGAAACTGCATTAGTTAGAGATTATAGGGTTTGTAGAGAGAACTCTCCATTTGGAGAGAACAGTTCTGGTTTAAAGATACCAGGAGACACTCCCCTCCATCCAATTGCTGTCTAGCTGGAACTGGGACCCCTGTGTTGTCAGATATTTTGATCTTTAAGAGGAGTCATAAATCTGAATACTGTGGACTATTTCCACTTTAAAAAATGGCTCAAAGTGTAGGCCAAACAAAACAAGTCGTAGGGCAGGTGCGATGCCATACCAATAATTCATTATCTTTGGTCTAATTTTTAAGTTCTTTAGAACAGGGACTTATTTTGTTCATTACTGTCCTCTATGCCTGCAACAGGTCCTGTCACATATTTGGTAGTCAATAAATGTGTTGAATAAAAAGAAGAAGAAATGGATACCGTCCTTAAAAAGGGGACCTAATGTCCACCTTTAATCTTTTCACCCCTCCCAACTTTGTAATAATCGCATTAAGGACCAGGTGGTAGTGACTGCCTAAAATATTTCTAGAGAGAGAAAGATAATACTATTTATTGAGCCCCTATTATGTATCCTACATAAAAGTACGTTATTTCTCTTAATGCTTCCACAATCCTACTTAGGGATTTCCTGTCCCTTCTTTATATGAGGAAACAAGCTGAGAGAGGTGAAATCACTTGCCTATGACCATACAGCCAGTAAATGAAAAGCCAGAGGCCTCTGATGTAACTGTAAGTCTACTGATCTACTGTTTGAGCAAACCCATTCATTTCTGGTGGGTATTTAAGCTGCCTGTATGAGAATTGGAGCATATTGCAAAATGAAGCATGTTTTCCAAAGGTGTGAACCATCTAAAGCCATCTCAAGTACTTCTGTGATTATATTAGTTCTGATTTGTTAAGGCTTTTTAGAGATGATGGTGTCTTCTCCCTAATGATTAATGAAGGGGAAAAGGAAAGGATGCTCATACTTATTTTGAACTATATGCCAGAACTTTTTAAAAAAATATTTATTTATTTGAGAGAGAGAGAGAGCATGACAGAGTGAGCACAAGCAGGGGGGAAGGGTAGAGGCAGAGGGAGAAGCAGACTTCCTGCTGAGCAGGAAGCCCGACGACGTGGGACTCGATCCCAGGACCCTGAAATCATGACCTAAGCCAAAGACAGATGCTTAACCGACTGAGCCACCCAGGCGCCCTTTTAATGTCCAGACCTTTTAATATTGATTAACTAATCTTTGTAATGATCCTGTAAAACAGGCTTATCCTCATTTTGCAGATGAGGAATGTGTAGCTCAGATTGCTTAAGACCCAGGTCACTCAGCTATTAAATGGCCAAGTAGGAGACTTTATGAAGTTAGTCTGCTCCAAAAACTCTTGCCACTCTACTTCATGCTGAGACGTTTTCATACTTGGTTGTTATCCAGTTTTTAAAAAATTTTAATTATAATATGGTCAACATATAGTGTTATAGTAGTGTCAGGTGTACAATCAAGTGATTCAACAATTTTATACATTTCTCAGTGATCATAACAATAAGAACACTCTTCATCTCCATCACCTATTTCACCCTCCCCCCCACCCTTCCCTCTAGTAACCATCAGTTTGTTCTCTATAGTTGAGAGTCTGTTTTCTGGCTTGTATCTTTTTTCTTTGTTTGTTTTGTTTCTTAAATTCCACATGAGTGAGATCATATGGTATTTGTCTTTTCTCTGATTGACTTATTTCACTGAGCTATACCCCCTAGCACCATCCATTGTTGTCGCAAATGGCAAGATTTCATTCTTTTTAATGGCTGAGTAGCTTGTTACCCAATTCTTAATTATCCTGTGACCATCATTTATGTATGTGGGTTCAATAGAAATATTTTATGCTTTGAGTCCAAATTAAGATCTGGACTGCATGGCTGATGTATAATACACTCTAATTGTGTGGTTTTTGTTACTTTAGAGGGCTAGAAAGCTGCAAGATTGGCTTTTGTCCTAAACCATTTGTAGCTATGGACTTACCAGATGAGAGCCAGTGGGATGAAACCACCTGCAAGTTGGCCATTTGTCAGCATCCACAATGCTGGGCCACGATCCGCCGTATTGAGAGGGGCCACCCTCGAATCCTGGGCTCCCCCTGTAAAACAACTCCAAATGATGAAGGTGAATTAGTCGGCCCTGCTTCTTCCTTACAAGATCCTTGAACTATTTCTGTTTGGCTCCTTTTGACAGATTACATGTTTTCCTCTGGTCTGTTTTCTCAGACAAACTCCCCGTGCTCACCATTGTAAACATGGCAGATTCCTGCATCCGGGCCAAGAGACATGCTCATCATTTATCAGGATTTACCTTCACCAAACCTCCCTCTTTACTGTATCCAGGTTCAAAGCTTGACTCCAAATTCCGAGGCAGGTAAATTATCATGGAATCTTCCGTTATGAGCCTCCTATCTCAAAATTCTGGGTTGATTTCCTTTACCCATGTAGTAGACTTTGAGAAAGCTGGATTAAAACTAAAACACCAGTTCAGTTAGAGAAATGGTGACGAGGCAGTGGGAAACAAAAGGAAGGCATTATCTGTGTTGTAGGAGTTGCTAAAATAGAGGTGTATTAGTTTGCTAGGGTCACTGTAACAAAGTACCCTGGACTGTGTGGCTTAAACAACACAAATTTACTTTTTCACAGTCTAGGGGTTAGAAGTTCAAGATTAAGGTGTTGATAGAGTTGTTTTCTTCTGAACCCTTTCTTCTTGGCTTGTAGGTGGCCATTTTCTCCCTGTGTCTTAACATGGTCTTCCTTCTGTGTGTCTTTGTCCTAATTTCCTCTTTTTTTTTTTTTTTTAAAGATTTTATTTATTTATTTGAGAGAGAGAGAGAAGCATGTGTGGGAGGAGGGGCAGAGGGAGAAGCAGAGTCCCTGCTGAGCAGGGAGCCCTGTGGATGTGGGGCTCGATCCCAGGACCCCGAGCTCATGACCTGAGCCCAGTGCAGATGCTCAACTGACTGAGCCCCCCAGGCGCCCCATCCTCTTCTTTTTTTTGAAGATTTTATTTATTTGTCAGAGAGAAAGAGAGAGAGAGAGAGAGCACGAGCACAAGCAGGGTGAGTGGCAGGCAGAGGGAGAAGCAGGCTCCCCACTGAGCAGGGAGCCCGATGTGGGACTCGATCCCAGGACTCCGGGATCATGACCTGAGCCGAAGGCAGCCGCTTAACTGACTGAGCCACCCAGGCGCCCCATCCTTGTCTTTTTTTTAAGTTTTTAATTTTAATTCCAGTATAGTTAACACAGAGTGTTATATCGGTTTCAGGTATATGATAGAGTGATTCAACCATTCTCTATGTTAGTCACTGCTCATCATGATAAGTGTTTCTTAATCTCTCTTTTTTTTTAAAGATTTTATTTATTATTTATTTGAGACAGAGAGAGACACAGCGGGAGAGGGAACACAAGCAGGGGGAGTGGGAGAGGGAGAAGCAGGCTTCCCGCCGAGCAGGGAGCCCGATGCGGGGCTCGATCCCAGGACCCTGGGACCATGACCTGAGCCGAAGGCAGACGCTTAATGACTGAGCCACCCAGGCGCCCCCATGTGTTTCTTAATCTCTTAATTTCCTCTTTTTAATAAGAACACCAGTCATATTGGATTAGGGCCTGTCTGCATGACCTCATTTTACCTTAATTACCTCCTTAAAGACCCTATCTCCAAATACTGAGGGACTCAGACTCTGAGGTATCGAGGGTTAGGATTCAGTGTAAGAATTTGGGGGGCACAATTCAGCCCACCACGGGGAATATCTCATCAGCCTCTGTAGGTCATCACTATCTTTTTTATCCTTTATCTTTAGGTATGAAAATGTTTGTAAGCTTTTGAAGGCAGAAGCAATGATTTCCTTTTGAATCTCCTACAAAGCCCAGGCATACAGTTAGTGCTTGTTGATACGGGAAACTAAGGCCCTGGGATCTACAGAAAACTTAGACTTGTAACATTTGGAACTCCTATGGTTTGGAACCAAGGCATGCCTAGTGGCCCCTGTACCAGTTCCTTTTCTCCCCTTTGATGTAAGCAGCCTTTGGTGGTTTCCTTTGGCTAAAGACAGTATGGGAAAGGGTAGGACTGCTTTCTGGTTCTCTAGGACTTGAACCTTGGGAAGAAGGTGGCTTCTCCCAGTCAGAGCCTGTGAAGGCAAAGACCATGGACCTCATTCATGTAGTCACTCATTGAATTTACAAATGTATTTTAGTGGGGACCACTTTGCTGGGCTCTGGGGATTCAGTGGTAAACAAGATACAGTCTTTACCCTCAAAGGGCTTTCAGCCTCGCTGGGGAGGACAAGAACTGTCCGGTGTGATGAGCGTGATGAGAGGGGCCCCCCTGGGTGTGTGGAAGCACATGGGAAGGGTTCCTCGCCCAGGGCACTGTCCTCTGTGGAGGCGGCACCCGTGCCTGGATACTAAAGTGTGAGCAGTCTGGTGAAGTGGGGGTTGCGGATAGGAGGTGGCCATGAGGAGAGTTCTGGACTACGGAAAGAGCATATGCCAAGGCCTGGAGGCAAGAGGAAGTTCTTTAGATGTCAGGAGAAGGGCTCATGGTGCGTGGAGCACAGAGCAGGAATGGGGGAGTGGTCAGAGCTGAGGCTCGGGAGCTGGAGTAAAAAGCAGTGGGCTACAGCACATGAATCAGCCTAAGGAGTTGGGTCTTTATCTTATAATTCTTCGCCATATGTATTCATTCCTACACTTAACATGGCTTTTAAAAAAATATAGTAACAAGTGATATGAAAATGTAAGGGGACAGTATTCCTTTTTTTTTTTATTGTGGTAAAGATGCATAGTTTGAAATTTACCATTTTAATCGTTTTTAAGTGTATAATTCTGTGGCATTAAATACATTCATAGTGTTGTGTCACCACCATCCATTTCTAGAACTTTTTCATCATCTCAAACAGGAACTCCTTACCCATTGAACAGTAACTCCCCATTCCCTCCTCCCTCCAGCTCCTGTTAATGTCTATTTTACTTTCTGTCTGTATGAATTTGCCTATTCTAGGTACCTCGTATAAGTGGAATCCTACAATATTTGTCCTTTTGTGTTTAGCTAGCTTCTTTTTTTTTTTTTTAAAGATTTACTTATGTATTTATTTGACAGAGAGAGACACAGTGAGAGAGGGAACACAAGCAGGGGGAAGTGGGAGAGGGAGAAGCAGGCTTCCCCCCGAAGCAGGGAGCCCGATGCAGGGCTCGATCCCAGGACCCCAGGATCATGACCTGAGCCAAAGGCAGACGTTTAACGACTGAGCCACCCAGGTGCCCCTTAGCTAGCTTATTTCACTTAGCATAATGGCTTCAAGTTTCATCAATATTGGAGCATATATCAGAATTGCATCCCTTATTAAGGCTGAAAAATATTCCATTGTGTGTAGATACTATGTTTGGCTTATTTAACATGCTTTGAACATCTACATCAAGGGTTACTCAGTCAACTTTTATTGATAGTGACATAACTGTCTGTAGTTGGAGAGAGGGGGCATAGGCTCTGAATTCAGTTTGATGCAACAAATAGTTGTGGAGTATTTGCAGTGTGCAGTGTCTGTTTGGGAGCTGTTCCATAACAAAGAAACACAACTTAAGGACATGGGGACACCCTACATTCATTCGGTAAGTATTAAGCCCCAGGTTTTCTGTGGATAAGCAGAAGGCTCAGAGCACTAACTGCCACCCCCATAGCTCCTTTGTATCTCTGTCATGTTTGGAAATTCATTTTTTAGGCCTCGGGAAGATTTACCTGACAAAGATTTAATCGACCGTCCTGATAGATCTCCTAAAGTAAATCACAGATTAAAAAAGGTACTTCTTCAGCATTTTCTCTTTACTAGTGGGAATAAAATATTTGCCTCTGTATAACATTCAGGATGACTATAATCTGAATAATGACAATGATAACTATCTAATATTGGGCCCTTAAGTATATGCTAGGCTCTGTGCTAATGCCTTTACATGCTATACTGTTTCCAGAAATCCCAGACACCAGTGGGATTGATCTGTGGGTGTTTGGCATAGGTAAGACTTTTCTGTCTGTATCCTGCAAAGAGCACGTTCAGCTACTAAGTAAACCCTGTCATCTCCTAATATGGGGAAATTAGAATGCTGGAATGTCACAGCTAAAATGTGCCTTCAGGTCATCTATTCTGATGACTATCCAACTTTTTAGCTATGACCTACAGTAAAAAATACATTTTGCAACAAAATAGCATAAAACAATCCTTACCCTAATTATGAGTAATGCACTCTGATATTTTCTGTCCTATTCTATTTTACTTTTTTTTTTTTTTTTTAAGACTGAGAGAACACGTATGAGAAGGGGAGGGACAGAGGGAGAGGGGGAAAGGATCCCAAGCGGGCTCCACACTCAGCACTCAGCGAGGAGCCCAAATCGGGGCTCGATCTCACGACCCTGAGATCATGACCTGAGCCAAAATCAAGAGTTGGACGCTTAACCGCCTGAGCCACCCAGGCGCCCCTCTATTCTACTTCTAAGCAATGTAGGCTACACTTCACAAAATTTGATTCCATGACCTATGAATTAGTTGCAGTTGCAACTGAAGAACATTACTGTGGTCTGTCTCATATGTCTTGCAGTTGAGACAACTGAAGCCCAGATAAGGAAGTGATTTGCTGAAGCACATAGCTAGTTAGAGGCCGAGCTAAATTAGAGTTTAGGAGGAAAAGCCCTTCTACTTATCTACAATAAAGAGAGATTTACTCTTCTTTGAAATCTTACGGATGCCTTTTATTTTTTTCAAGAGATACTTTACCTTTCACTGTCACATGGTGGAGAGTATAAGGGACAGAGAGAGGGTAGATGTGTTTGAATGGATGAACAAATCACTCTCCTCTTTGACCTCTTTAAAACAAGGGGTTAGATTAAATTCGTTTTAAGATAATTAATTGAATAGCTAGTACTTGCACATGGTTCAAAATTCAAAAAGCATAAAAGCGTTTACAGTGCAAAGAAGTCTCCCCTAATCCCCCCAAGCCCTGCAGTTCCTTTTCATAGGACAACCTTATTTTTATTTTTATTTATTTATTTATTAAAGATTTTATTTATTTATTTGACAGAGAGAGACACAGCGAGAGAGGGAACGCAAGCGGGGGGAGTGGGAGAGGGAGGAGCAGGCTTCCCTCAGAGCAGGGAGCCCGATGCGGGGCTCAGTCCCAGGACCCTGGGATCATGACCTGAGCCAAAGGCAGCCGCTTAACGAGTGAGCCACCCAGGCTCCCCCAACCCTATTTTTAAAAAAAATTTATTTATCTCTTAGGGTGGGGGAAGTGAGCACGCAAGCAGTGGGGAAGGGCAGAGGGAGAGAGAGAGAATCTCAAGCAGATTTCCCACTGAGCTCAGGACCTTGGAGCCCAAAGCAGGCCTCAATCCCAGGACCCTGGGATCATGACCTGAGCCAAAATCAAGATTCGGCCACTTAACTGACTGAGCCACCCAGGTGCCCCACAACCCTATTTTTATTAGTTGTTTTTTTTTTTCTTTTCCTCGTTCCCTGTATCCTACCAGGGGTAGGGACTAGATCATTCATAAGGTTTCCTTGAGCACCACTGTTCTAATATCTTGAATGACTGAAGGTGGAAAGTGTTGTGATCTTAACTTTTATGTAGATGCCTATAATTGTAGACAGGTGGTAAAAGCAGAAAACTGGCTTCTGTCCTTACCAATTCCCTCCCAGTTCCCAAATTGTGTTATCTGCAGGGGATCTAAGTGTTTGGAGTGGAGTAGGCAGAATGAGTGCATTCCCTTAGGTAAACCCCAAGTTCCGCTCTAGGGGATATGGGGTGGGGAGTTGCTAAATGCCACCCTAATGTCACAGGGAGGCAGGGGAGACTATTCACTTAAAATGCTCACTCTTGCAGAGTACTGTACTGGTGTCTGGTTTCTTGGGGCATTGTTATGAAGACAATGTGGGGATGAGAAATGTCTTTTGGTCATCTTCTGCACCAGCATACCCTTTTCATTAGCATGATAATTCAGTTCTTAGGCCTGTTCTGAGTACCATCAGGAGCTGGTACCTTCAAGCCATATATAGGCTTTTACATGTTTCTCTTAGCTTTCAGTGCTGAATTTGAATGAGACACAACTTCCCAGCCCTCAAGATGTTAGAAATATGGTTGTAATCTGGATCCCAGAACAACCAGAGAGGCATGTGAGGTGAGTATTGTGTCCAGAACTTGGGAGCCTTCCGCCCTTACGTTCTGCAAGTCCCTCCTGCCCTGCGCAGGCCTCCTATCTGTGATCTCCTTTTTAGCTGCCTCATTGCAAGTAACAGGAGGCCAACTAGAGAAGAAGGTCACGGTCTCTTGTATTTGCTTCCTGCTCCACTGGGGTTCTATTTAATGCACTTTGTGTTTCCTGCGTCGGGGCTTCTCCACATCAAATCCTACATGGCATTAAATAACAGGCAAGATAGGGCCTGTGGATTTGCGAGGGCTAAGAAACAGACGCTTCCTGACGATCAGTGTTTCTTTTTCTCCTTTTTTAAAGATTTTATTTATGTATTTGAGAGAGAGATAGCGAGAGAGAGCACAAGCAGCAGGGAGGAAACACAAGCTGTGGGGAAGGACACAGGGAGAGGGAGAAGCAGACTCCCTGCTCAGCAGGGAGCCCTGTGCGTGCCGTGCTGGCCTTGATCCCAGGACCCTGAGATCATGACCTGAGCTGAAGGCAGGTACTTAACAGACTGAGCTACCCAGGCACCCCTATCAGTTTTTCTTATTAGCCATCCCCAGCTAGTGAAAACATTTTGAGTGAAGCGCGTGAATCTTTGGTCTCAGCCCCAAGGCCTAGCACAGTGGCACAAGATGAATAGCCTGTAGGACTTGTGTACAAAGCAGAAGGATCACTGGGTGAGGACCCAAAGGCTTGATAATACTGATAACCACTGGAAGAAGGTGTTTGGTTTTTCTTTCATGAATGCTAAGGCTTTCGGATTCTTGTTAAGTGACTATGCAGATAGGATGTGATTTAAGAATTTCTTCTTACTTGATTTTTTAATGATCCTGTCAGTGCTTATGTGTGTGTGTGTGTGTGTGTGTGTGTGTGTGTGTATGATATAAACAAAAAACTCCTAGAGGTTTAGTTCCTTTCATGTGAAAAAAAAAAGCCCAGATATGGGTGGACCAGGGCTAATAGCTCAGTTCCACGTGTTCATCAGAAACCAGAACTCCTTCGGGCTCTCTGGTCATCATCCTTAGCCCGTGGCTTTCATTTTCTAAGGTGTCTCATGGGGGCTTTGAAGGTCTAAGTTGACGGCTAGAGCTCCAGCCATCATATACGTGTTCCAGGCAAGGAGGTGGAAGATGACAGAGCAAAAAATACTTGAGCACCTCCTCTGTGCTAAGCAGTGAGAATCTAGTGAAGAACCAAATAGACTTGCTCCCTGTCCTCCTAGAGTCTTGTGGTGGTGGGGGGTGGGGTGGGTTGGGATTCAGGCTTTACAAACATCACCATACCAAAGTATATAATTACTAATTTGGATTAATGCTATGAAAGCAAATAACTGGGTTGTAGGAGAGAATGGCAGGGAACCTAATGTAGATGTGAGGTTAGGTCTTGTTTCTCGCAGCTTCTGGGCAGTTGGTTCCTCCAGGCTTCCAAGCAGCCATCTTTGAGTACTGAAGAGAGGATAGAAATCTCCATGGTCATCATTCACAAATACCCTTGGTGCTTCTGTTTGAGATGTCTGGGAATAAATTGTGGTTGTTCTTATTTCAAGTCCAGCCGAGAAGAAGCATATTCTTCCCAGCCAGGACTGGATGAAGAAAAGAATGAAATCTACAGGGGTAAGTTTGATGTTTTGGTCAAACCTTTATGAGATTACTCTGTAGAATTTTGTTTTTCCTTTCAGGTACCTTCCCCCTTACCCCATTCTATTTAAATGAATAAAACTTGCAAAAGAAACCCCTTTTAAGGAATAATTACCGAAGCATTTTCTATTGAGAGACTCACTTCCCTGCCCCCTCCCTGTAGGAAGGTGAAGAGCATCTTGAAGAAAAGTTAGGAGGAAGCCTTGGATATTCAGGGGGAGTTTTTGACAAATTCCCGGTGTGATAGAAAGAGAGCTTCAGTGGACTAGGGGTTATAATGGACTTGGGTTTCTCATCCTCATGTCCCCACTTAAATGGGTAAATGTAACCTTGGGTAAGTCACAGAGCTGGAAGGTCGCTACAACTGTGAGAGTGGTGTCTTGGTCCACTTTGTTCATTGCTGAGTCCCCAGTGCGAGCCCTGCACCTGGCACATAGTTGGCCAATAAATATCTGTTCAGTTTTGCTCAGTGAATGAATTAATAACCTTTTTGGAGAAAAAAACCAAAGCAACAAATCCCTGTATGATCTGAATTCAACAATGGGGTGGGGAGCCAGAGAGGGAAAATATGGTGGCCTTCATAGTGCAAAGGAGGGGTTGCTGCTGGAGTGGGTCTGGAAACAGGGAGTTTGGCATGCTAGGGTTATGTTTGGGAGGCTGGAATGTTGATGGGAAGGAGTGGCACTTTCCATTGTTGCTTTTCTAGAAAGACAGTTTTCGCTATGGAAAGCAAAAAACAGAAACACAGCTGGGACCTCCAGGGATGATTGTGCCTCCTCCCCCCTCACCAGTACGCTTTTTTGAGCAACTAAACGCAGAGTCCATACCTTTCTGGAACCAATTTGACATGTTACCTCGGGATCTACTGAAGGAGTAAGTATCATGTAAGCCTGTGGGAGAGCCAGAGTACCTGCTCTTCTCTGAAGCAGAGAAGGCACTAAGTAGCATGCTCTTCCTGAGTAAGGAGGGGAGAAAAACTGTCCCCTCGGCTTGTACAGTGAGTTCTTAGACTTACCAATGTACAGTGATGACAGTAATGGCCACCATTTATCAAGTACTTACCACTTGCCAGGCCCTGCGCTATAGAAGCACATTACGTCTATTCTCTTGTTGTTGTTTTTTTTTTCCAGATATACAGTCATCTTTATTATAATTCATAAATGCATTATAAACAAACCTGGATCTTTAATAAGACACACTTAGGATCTGATAGGCTTCTGTTTTCCATTCAGTTATGTAGTTAGAAAACCCAGTTTACTTGAGAACGGTAGAAAAGGCCAAGTAGTGTCTTAGTTTCCTTAAGAGAAGTTTTCTCCTCATAGGCATTCTGGAATCTTTGGCCTTGTGAATCAAAAGACCAGACTGTTTTAATAGACATGCCCATGTTCAGTGCTGTCTGCATTCCTCACATTTCAATGGACACCTGTCCTATAGAACATTCAACTTATTCCCCAAATTTCGTATAAAGTACAGTTTTAAAAAGGGGTCAAATGTGCCCAAGCTTCCAAGCTTCCAGGCTTATCTTATAAAAACAGAATTTATCATTCACTCTACCAACTCTCCCTGCCAAATAAAGGACCCCAAAGGATAAGTGTCAACTGCCAATGTTAGGTGAGGTTCCTCTTCTCTTCTCAAATCAATTTATTTGGAATCCTGAGCAATCACAGCCAACTTCAGTGGAGGGCTCAATCTCTCTCAAAAAGCCTATTCTCTTATTTGAACCTCTACTAGGCACTATTACTCTCTTCTCCTTTTTCTTTTTAAAGTAAGCTCTATGCTCAACGAGGGGCTTGAACTCATGACTCAGATCAAGAGTTCCATACTCCACTGACTGAGCCAGCTAGGTGCCTTCACTCTCTTCTTTTTATAAACGAGTTATGGATAAGTGGGAGGCAGAAGGGAAATGTGGTTTGGAGTGAGACAGCCTTTGGATTTTGCACTGAAATTTCCCAGTTTTGTGCATTTTGGTAATTTATCTAGCATCTTTATGCCTCGTTCCCTCGTTTGCAAAATGGGGATAAGAACGCCTGTCCTCTGCTAATTGAAAACTGTTGCCCGATGAGCACAGTGGAAATTTATTCAAATTTGGAGCCCTTACCATCCCTTTTTCCTCAGCCACACTCTCCAAGAAGAACTGTTGCTGACTGGCTGTCTCTGTCCCCTCCAGCCTCTTACCTGATGAAGGGAAAACCATGCCTTCTCTGGAGATGAAGACACAATTGGCCATGATGAAGAAGAAAGCTCCCCTGGAAAAGAGCCGACCTGACAGTGCCATTTCTGCTAAGATGTTCTTATCCATACACCGTCTCACCCTGCAGGTGAGAGCTAGGGAGCCTCGGAGACAGAGGTCTAGATGCAAATCCAAACTCATTTCTTTTCAAGGCTGGAGGAGTTGATGTTCTCTTTCTTCTTTCTCTCTACCCTTCCACGCTGGACCCAAGCCTCACAGAAGGGCTGGGCTATATGTAGGTGAAAGCAAACGCACGGGGAGGGGTTTGAGGAACATTCTCTGTTTCTCCTGCACTTTGTTCCCCGCTCCGGTTCCTCTCTCTAGAGCCCGTGCTACAACGCTGTGTGCGCACCCGGTTCTGAAACAGTGCTTGTTGGCTATGTGGGTACCTACCTGCATTTGAAGGATATGTCTTGGGAAAAGGAAACACCTTCAGTAGAGCTTTTCCTCTTCTTTCTCTTTTCTTTCTTTTTTTTTCCTCCAGAGACCAGCATTGAGATATCCTAAACATTTGAAGAAATTGTATTACACCCCGAACATAGAAGGTAGGTTTTCTGGTGGATCGGGCCAGATCCTCAGGTACTGTCCCCCCCGTCAGCCCACAGTTCTTATACTTGGTCTGGGTCCCAGTTTGTTGTTTGTGGCCACAGTCATGCAAGATCCTGTGTAGAACTCCGGAAGCTGCTGTTTCAGGAGGCAGTCCCCCTCCCCCACCACAAATGGCTTGGTTCTGACAGAGCGGGTGTCACCGTTGTGGAGCAGGGCCCAGCAAGAAGCCCCCGGGGAAGGTGGGCACTGTCAGGAAGAAGAGGGTTGAGCCAGTGCTCTGGTCACCAGGTCACAAGAAGCAGCAGCAGAGGAAGGTGAAAACCCCACCGAAGAGACAGGTAGAGTGGCCGTGAGGGAAGCTGGAGGACTGGCTGGGACTGGGCCACGGGGTGCAGCCTGGAATGGGAAGGGGTGGATGAGGCGCAAGTCTCCCTGTTCTCCATTTGGTTCTAGATACAGAGTTCCTGTCTGCTTGCAGATACTAACTTCCTTCTTTTAGACTCTTTTTGAAACGTTTTCTTCACTTCCAAAGGTCCTAATTCAGTTCCTCCTCATGTGGGTTTCAGGAGGCTAAAAAGAAATCCAAGAGTGATCCGGGGAGCCAGGACATTTTGCATAAATGTTCGGGTGCCATGGTGTGTGGCCCACGCTATGGTAAGGAGAATATGGGTTTGGGAGGGATGGGAACTCAGGATGTAGCTGAGGACAGGAAAAGCTGGACAAATCCGTCATTTTGGGACCTGCCTTCATTAGGCATTCACAATTCTCCTTGGAATGTTCTGGCTTGGCTGGGCTGACATGCGTCGTCTTTCCATCAAATCTTTACTAAGGAAGCAAGCTGGGCCAGATGTCTGCTTCATGTGGGTGTTCGAGAGATGACCATGAGCATGAGTCAGAGTCATTTTTCCTCAGGTCTTACTTTAGGAAAGACGGAGTGGTTTGAGAATGAAGAGCAAGCAATGAGGCAGCAAAGAGCCAGGGCCCCTGTCTAGCCCCGAGAGGGTTCTAAGGAAGCAGAGTCCAGGGTCCCTCGCTTCCCAGCCACAAGTTAGTCCCTGGAGGCTCAGGTTGAAATCAGCACATTATCTAGACCCCCCTAGGAGGCAGGTGGCCAATTCTTGACAGGCAATTCTTTTCCTTTGGTGTTCATGCTGAAGACCAGAATAGGTAGCTCCCCTTTTTGGAATCCTAATCATGTGCCTGAGCTGAAGGATATTCTTACCCTGGTCCCTCTGATGTTGCTCAGTTTGAGTGCAGAAAAAGAGAAAGAAAGAAAGGGAGGGAGAAAGAATCCTCCTAAACCTTAGGAGCTTCTTCGGCCCTACTCAGAGTGGACCTTGTTGACTGCTTCCTCATCAGAATTTGCTCTCCCCCTCCTAGGGCAGTGGGAGGGCTCAGGTGAAATGTTTCCTCAGAAGAATGCTCCTCTCTCGGTTTATTTCACATCCCACTGAGCTCTCAGATGCCAACAGTGGCCCCTGACCTGCAGATCTAAGAAGCTTCCTGGCTTTCACATGGGAGGTAGACAAAACCAGGGCTGTAGCCCAGGGTGAGGCTGACAGGTCCAAGGTTAGCACTCCATCCAGGGTGATCAGCACTCCCCTGAATTCATTCAGGTGCTTTTCATTCCTCTTCCTGATGTCTCCAATAGGAGCAGATTTGCTTGGGTGACTGGGGTGCCTTTTTGAATTCTGTTCTTGGAGCAGTGGCCTGTCCTCACTGGGTTGAGAAAGGCCTTATGAAGAGTTGATTTTTGCATTGGATCTTGAATGTGTGAGAGTCTTCCTGATACGGAAGAGAATTCCGGAAGTGGGAGTAGTCTGTTCAGGTGCACCTAGGAGGAGCATGGCTGCGCAGGGAACACGGTGGTCCATCGTGGCTGTGGGTTATGAAAGAGACAGTCGTAAAAGGTCAGGCTGACGAGGTAGGCAGGAGCTTGTTTGACCATGGTCATGGTGCTCCACCCCCTGACCGCACACCGAAATCAACTGAGGAGCTTTTCTTTTTTTTCTGAGAAAGCACGCGTGTGTGCACGCGTGTGCACACGAGCGAGCGAGAGAGAGAGAGAGTGAGCGCAGGGGCCAGGGGGAAAGGGAGAGAGAGAATCATAAGCAGGTTCCACACCTCCAGCGCAGAGCCCAATGTGGGGCTCAACCTCATGACCCTGAGATCATGACCCTGAAATCATGACCTGACCTGAAGTCGAGTCAGATACTTAACTGACTGAGCCACTCAAGTGCCCCAACTGAGGAGCTTTTAAAACCCAGATACCCAGGACGTACCCCACACCTATTCAATCAGAAGTTCTGGTGTTGGGGCCCAGGCCTCAGTGTTTTCCAGAACTCCTAGTACTTCAAGTGTGCAGCTAAGGTAAGAACCAGTGCTAGTAGGGAGCCAACAGACGTGTTCAGCAAGGGAGTTCCTCGATTGGCTTTGCCTTTTTGCCTAACAGCTCGGGTGGCAGCTTGGAAGATGTTCTCTTCTTTCTTTTTTTTTAAGATTGATTGATTTGACACAGAGAGAGAGCAAGCAGGGAGAGTGGCAAGCAGAGGGAGAGGGAGAAGCAGACTTCCCACAGAGCAGGGAGCCTGATGTGGGGCTCGATCCTAGGACCCCGGATCATGACCTGAGCTGAAGGCAGACCTTTAACCGACTGAACCACCCAGGTGCCCTGGAAGATGTTCATTTAGAGAAAGGGAATTGAGAAAGGACCGGATGAATGCATTTAAGGACTAGTTGGGGAAACAGCTGATGCAGAAGAATCAGAGAACTAGAGCTTTTGGAAGGAAGGAGTTTCATTTTCAGAAGCCAGTATGGGGACATTAGGGTTGGTGCAAGAAGGTCAGAGGAGTCTTCATTAATGGAAAACATAGGGTCAGGGTTTCTTTTGCTGCTATGATGTGCAGATACCTGCCCCTTCGGTTTCTTGGAGGAACCCTAAGTCTTTTTTGTTTTTCCCTAAGTCTTTTAACATACCCTTGACCTTAATCTCAAATTCTGTGATAGATGTGGTCCCAGTCCTAGGTGAACAGAGCCACAAAGAGAACTCAGAGGCCCAACTCCCTTTTGTCCAAGATGAGGAGTCACTTGTAGGCTAGGGGTCAACTGGAAGCCCCACAGTGGGATATGAAATACCAGTAAGAAGAGAATTGAATTGACTTTGTGGTCACTAGGTCACAGAAATCTACTAAGTCAGAAAACTGACAAAAAGCATCCACAGTGGACGAAGTCAGAAGGACCCAACTTGGAAAAGGTAAGAGCACCAGAACCATTCTGCTAGAGCCCTGTTTCTGTTACCTGTTACTGTTTAACACACCACCTCAAAGCTGAAACCAACAGTGGTTGGTCGTTCCTCAGGACAGTTTTTCTGGTGTTGCTTGATGTCACTCATGCACCTGCCTTCAGCTGGCGGCTGGGGTGGGGCTGTTAGCCAAATCGTCTTAGTTCTCTTCCATGAGTTCTCTTCATTGTGCCTCGTTTGGGCTTCTTAATAGTATGGTAATCTCGTGGAAGCACTTCCTTGAGAGTTGGGGCTGGAACTGGAACAATGTCACTTCTGCCACATTTCATTGGTCAAAAAACCACAAGTCCTGGGGTGCCTGGGTGGCTCAGTCATTAAGTGTCTGCCTTCGGCTCAGGTCATGATCCCAGGGTCCTGGGATCAACCCCACGTCGGGCTCCCTGCTCCATGGGAAGCCTGCTTCTCCCTCTCCCACTCCCCCTGCTTGTGTTCCCTCTCTCGCCGTGTCTCTCTGTCAAATAAATAAATAAAATCTTAAAAAAAAAAAAAAGAAAAAAAATCTTTTCTTTCTTAAAGTCTTGATTCACGTTTCCTTACACTTACTCTAATGAATTTCAGGATTCCGCAAGGAGGCCACAGATGGAATACTCTGAGAATTATCTGGATTCCTTCCCTGATAAGGATGGTAAGTTACTAGGGTGGAGGGACCTTAGTAAGTCACTCAGGCCAGGGAGAGCTGAACCTGTGTTGAGAAGGATGGTTCACCTCCCTGGAGGCCATAGTCCTCATCCCTCAGAAGGGTTTTAAAGACACCCAGCCCTTCCTTTTCTGTCCTCCATTTGTCACAGTTGGGAGAGGGCTGCAGGTGCAGTTAATGGCTGGGTCTTCTTTTAGATCCTGAGTTATCCAAGATAGAACCCTCTAACAAGGACATCAGCACTCAGGAAGAGGTTGTGCCGGAATCCCAAGAGAGGAGCTCAGAGGACCTCTCAGACGATACATCTAGAAGAGGGTGGAACCCGGAGCTCAAACTCCTGAGGATTCTTGAGGCCACTGATGATGAGGATGAGGAGAACCAGCTCTCTGGGTCACAGAGTGAAGAGTCTTATGGGATTTCACAGGACAGCCTTACTCCAGAGCAGGATGCTTGGAATCCCAAGGACAGTGACCTTGGACATAAGGACAGAAAGGAGAGGGGACTTCTGCTCCCGGGAGCCTTTACCAGGGCCTGACTGTAGGAATTCTGCTTTCTTCATTCACTTCTCCTTACCTCTAAAATCAGTGAGGGAGAAAAAGCCTCCCCCTTCTTAAACTGAGATTGTTTCTCTTTCATTAGGGACAGAATAATTTTAGTGATTAAATACAACTGCTTAAGGAAAAGACTCATTCTGTTTCTGGGAGGAGGGGAGAGATGTTTCTGCGATGTGTTTTCTGGGTCACTTTTATCTCCCCTCTGAAGCTCTGAAAGGTTTCCAGTTACAGGAAGATGAGTTTTGGGGCACCCGGCTAGCTCATTTGGTAGAGTGTGCAATTCTCGATCTTGAGGTTGTGAGTTTGAGCCTCACATTGGGCATAGAGATTACCGAAAAAAAAAAAAAAAAAAGAAAAGGGAAGATGAGTTTGGCCTGTGGGAACCCCTACTGTGTTCCTAGCTTTTCCTCTCATTCTCTGGAAATGTTTTTTTTGGGGGGTTGGCACCCAGTAATCACTTTCAAATAGTATATGTATTAACCCGAAAGAGTCTAAAGCTCCAGCTTCTAAATTACTGTGTCTGTGGAATGTTTCAGTGATGCTCATAAAGACTCAGAATTTCAGAGTCTCAGGGACCTTGAATTTGGTTTTTGGAAGGATTTTTTTCCTCGTGTTTTTGTCCTTAAAGTTTTTAATATAGAAAATTTTCAAAATTACCTGAAAGGAGAATAATATAGTGGAAATCTCACGTACCCAGTAGCTTAGATGCGGGCAATGAAGGCCCCTGCCCTGGGCCCCTCGTCCATGAGCTGCTGTGAAAGCAGCTGGAGCCCATTATTCTCACCAGCTCTGCACCCAGGGTCAGGTCTCCTTCCCATAAGTGGGAGCTGGGTGGAAGAAGAGAGCCCTGACCATTGGTGGTACTCACTAGCACTTAGCCTCAGCCACCAGCAGCTGGGGGAGGATGAGAAATGATGACATCCTATCCTTCCTGAGGAGACCAGCCCTCTGCCTTGGAGCTGGGAGGGGAAGCCCTGTGTTCTTGGGCAGTAGCAGTCCAGAGTAGTGTCTGTCTCACTGAAACTGGGGTGGGGACGGGGAGAGCATGGCTCTAGGGTCACATAGCATAGACTCAGTTCCTACCAAGCTTTTGTAGATTTTCTTAAACAATTTGCTGTATGCTCTTAGGGCCATTTTCAGAGACATAAACATATTTTTAAATATAATTTTCACCAGGGGCGCCTGGGTGGCTCAGATGGTTGGGCGTCTGCCTTCGGCTCAGGTCATGACCCCAGGGTCCTGGGATCGAGCCCCGCATCGGGCTCCCTGCTCTGCGGGGAGCCTGCCTCTCCCTCTCCCTCTACTGCTCCCCCTGCATGTGCTCTCTCGCTCTCTATGAAATGGATAAATAAAATCTTTAAAAAAAAAATAATTTTCACCAGTTTCATTGGACAGCAGTCTGCGAACGTCTTACATTCTTATGTCGGAAGTGAAACTCAGGACTGGGCCTGACTTTTTTTTTTTTTTTTTTAAGATTTATCTATTCATTTAGAGAGAGAGCACACAAGCAGGGTGAGGGGCAGGAGGAGAGGGAGAGAATCCCAACCTGACTCCTTGCTGAGCTCGGAGCACGGGGCTCCATCTTTGTGAGATCATGACCCGAGCCAAAATCAAGGGTCGGCCACTCAACCGACTGAGCCACCCAGGTGCCCCCCTGACATCTTTTTATAAGAGAAACTTAGCCCTCATCAATTATTTGGTTCTGCTAAGTACAGTTTGTACAAGGAAGGCAGATTAAATCTTAAATCTTTTTTAACGTTGTCTCAAAACAGACCAAATTAGAAAGCTAAAACTGCTGCCTACTTTTTCCTTTCTCCCAAGCCAAATCAAAATTATATATGACATCATTTGTGTTACTAGACTGAACTATACTTAGCTGAATCTTGGTAGTGAGAGGAATCCGAGAGGTGTCATGTGGGCTGTTTTTCTGCAAATAATTATGTCTCGAATGTACATTACATTGTAGAATGATTTGTGTGGGTTAACTTAAAAATGACACCTTTTTTCAACTCCTTGGTCTTGCCTCAGACCTGTCCACTCAGGCAAACCCAATTTCCAGTGGTCAGTAGTGAGGCTGAGGAGGCGGCAGGGCTGAGCTTTCATTTGCTCATTTTATCTGAAGACTCAAAGAGAAATTCTAACTATTACTGATACAACTATGTACTTAGTTAAGCAACTGTCAGAAATTGGCACATTCTTTTCAGTTTCGTTGATGAGTACAAAGTCACTTTTGATTCAGAACATATTTTGAATGAGAAGATGTTTGCTATTTGAACACTGGCCTTCGCAATCGCTTTGGCTAAGATCAAGTGTGAACACTGGCCTTCGCTTCTGTTTTCGAAGGGAGGAAAACCATTTGTGGGCTGAAACCTTTTCTCCTTTGTTATACCAATCCCTCAAATTGCAAACAGAATTTAGGGCAATATAATCTGCATGCCACATTACAGTCTCCAAGGCAGTTTATACCTACTATTTCGGTTGGTTCTCTAACCAACTCTATAGATAAGTGTGGATTGTCTCCATTTTATAGATTGGAAGACTGAGGCTCAGAATTCAGGGCTGATGATAACTCATTCAGGGCCTTAGTGAATTAGAAAAAAAAAGGCATCCTTTAAGACACGTTACTACCTGTTGAAAATTCTCTCAAAACAAATCTACAATGATTACAATATGAGCGGCACCCCTAGAGTTGGTCCACAACTTTCACCATAGGACCTGGAGGGCTTACTGGAGAGGTGAAGTCATTTGCCAGAAATCTAAGGCCAGCAGGGGAAGGGCTTAGAACCTGGCTCCTTGCTCCTGTCATCCACTGAACTCTGATGCCTCTCTGGTTCCCTCTCTTTAATGCATGGTGGAGCCTGGGACAGTCTTCATTTGAAAGGAAGGGAGACCACGTAGAAAAGAACTGACTGAGGGGAAGGAGCCCTCATGAACAATTTGCATTAGCCTCCCAATGTTCTGAGAGAAGAGGAGCCAGGTAACTGTTGCTAACTGCCATTTCCTCACCATCTGCACCATGGGCATCAGGAGAACTAAGGCCCAACAGCCAGGAGGCTCTAGCTAGAGTTGCTTGGAGATCCGCTTTACACATTTACGCAGACAAGAGGTCTTAAGACTTAGCTAGTTGGAAGATTGTCCTGGATCCTTATAAAAGGCTCTGGCTTCTTTTCTTCTTTTCTATCATGCTTTGTGATCCTTACTAGTGGTAGGCCACTGTGTTTGGGTCACCATGTTTTCCGAGCACACTTCCCCATGACACCAGGCTTGGTTTGACTTGTGTGTGAAAGCAAAGTAAGTGGAAGGGTCTGCGTCCGCAGTCCTCCCTGCGGGGCCAGCGATTCCTTTGTTTCGGTATTGGCCCTGACATCTGGGCTAACAGACTCTGTTCTTCATTGTTTCTGGGTTATAGTAAACTCCATTTGATGGGATGGAGTCAGGGTTTCAGCCAGGTAGGAGTGACCCTTAAAAAAATCCGTTTTGGGGCACCTGGGTGGCTCAGTCGTTAAGCGTCTGAATTCGGCTCAGGTCATGATCCCAGGGTCCTGGAATGGAGCCCCGCATCGGGCTTCCTGCTCAGCGGGAAGCCTGCTTCTCCCTCTCCCACTCCCCCTGCTGTGTTCCCTCTCTCGCTGTGTCTGTCAAATAAATAAATAAAATCTTAAAAAAAAAATCCATTTATTAAAATGTGCTTAAAGGAATTGTTTGCTGAATTAAAGACAGAAATACCTCTGGCTGTTGGATAAGAATGATTAGAGGCCCTTGGGAATCCAGGGCAATCTGGGGAAGACTTTCTAAATTGTCTCTTTCAGTTGCCAGAAGGTACCAGGGTATGAAATTATTTTGTCCTTCTGTTTATATTTATTTATTTAACAAATACTGAATACCTATTACGTGTTAGACAATCGACCCCTAGATTATCTTTATAGAGAAACACAAATTTCTGGGGAGATGAAGAGTCATTCCCCGGAAGACAGAAATTTTTCTGGATCACTTGGTGAAGTTGTCTGGGACCACTAGGTGGTGATAGTACATTGTGAAAATGATCCTCTTCCAAAACTGGAGGCCTCTGGTTCTTATTCTGGGGACAGGGCCTATGAGCCAAAGAGATTTCCTTATTGAGTACATGGAGAAAAAAACCCCACGTTTCACCAACGAGATATATGATCCAATTTAAATGCTCTGATGAATGAATTAGTTTTTTTTTTTTAAGATTTTATTTATTTGACAGAGAGAGACACAGCAAGAGAGGGAACACAAGCAGGGGGAGTGGGAGAGGGAGAAGCAGGCTTCCTGCGGAGCAGGGAGTCCGATGCGGGGCTTGATCCTAGGACCCTGGGATCATGACCTGAACGGAAGCCAGATGCTTAACAACTGAGCCACCCAGATGCCCCTGAATTAGTTTTTGAACAATTTAGAATGTCATTGGAAGAACTACTTCAAGAGTGTGACAAATTCTGGAACATGCCCAGGGGCCTAGGATTTGGGGAAATTGGGAGCTATTGATGATCCTGACAGTCATCAGTTGGGCATATACAGGGAGGCAACATTTGATGGGTAGAAATATCAAAAATTATCTGAGGGCCTTATCCTGTTTTGCATCTCCTAAATTTATCTTGATCAGATTTTGCCTGTTTAAAAATTCAGGGAAGGTCGGGCGCCTGGGTGGCTCAGATGGTTAAGCGTCTGCCTTCAGCTCAGGTCATGATCCCAGGGTCCTGGGATCGAGTCCCGCATCGGGCTCCCTGCTCCTTGGGAGCCTGCTTCTCCCTCTGCCTCTCTCTCTCTCTCTCTGTCTCTCATGAATAAATAAATAAAATCTTTAAAAATAAATAAATTAATTAATTAAAAAAAATTCAGGGAAGGTGAAACCAATAAATTCAGTTTGTTCGTCTGTTTTTGAGTCTATACTACTTCTAAGGATGGCCCTGTTTTGAAAGGGATCTCCACAGATAATTAAAACTCTCTCTTGGTCTCCGCATCA